ATCAAGCCCCACGTTGGGCTCCCTGCGGGGAACCTGCTTCTCCCTCTGCCTGTGTCTCTGCCTCTCTCTCTCTGTCTCTCATGAATAAATAAATATATTTAAAAAACACTCTTTAGAACCAACCTTACCCTCTGTCTCACCACTAGTCAATACATTGCCAGACAGCTCATGTAGTAAATATCCCTAGCAATACTCATAAAGCCTAAGTGAAAGCTTACACCAGGGCTGCTGTTTGTGCACATCTGACCTCTAAACACATGGAGACAGCCATATCTCCTAAGGCCGTTCCAATCTTCAACATGCGTTGACAGTGTCCTGCTCAGATCACTGCTCTTGGCTCATACCCACACAGTCCTTGGTAAGTCAGGAGATAGCTCTTATCTGAGAACCCACACATCTTTAAAGTTTTCCATGAAATAGTCCTGTATCAGGCCAGAACCCATACTCATACTGGTGTGTAGCACAGCAGTGAACAGATTCAAACCCAAGCAAGAATAAGAGCCACACAGCTCATTAGCAAGTCCATACACATACTTGCTTTAGCACATTATGGGAAGGACAGCACAAAGACCAAGACTTATCTGTACCTTCCCCCGGATCTCAGTATTCTACAGAGTGTACAAAGCAAAGACCAGGGAACACACTTATCCCATCATTCATTCGGCCATCAGGAGCTCCACGCCCAGAATAATAATCCAGAGTCATTCCATCACTCATCACACTACGAGGCTTTCCCCAACAAGACTAGGGTCTATATTGCAAATGCTTCTCAGCAAACCAAGAGAAAAAGCCTTGCACAGAAAAGGGGTAATATATACCACCATTGAACACCATACCAGAAAGTCCTTGTTGATCAAGACTGAGGACTATGTTCACACTTAGCTCATCAGGGAATAGCCCTCACTTGGATAAGATCCTATACCTGTACCATTATAAATATCAAAACCACAATCTGATCTAGACCATCAAACTCCCATATCATTACTTAGCATAGTAGGAGGATTCATATGGGAGGGGACTATATATCTATTCACCAAAGAAGGAATGAGCCCCTGTGAAGAACTGAGCGATTACATGGCTCTACCCCACCACACCACCATACAGCCCATCTCAGATGGGTGCAGATAGTCATACCAAACCACATGGCCCACCATGAGGTAGCGCCAACCCAGAACAGAGCCTTCGCCCACGCCACTCCTCCATATGCCAGAAGACCAGAAGACAGTCTCTTCCCAGACCACGCTTTGTGGTTACACCAGGACTTGGCACACCTGGACAAAGCCCCCACAAAGATAAACACTTAAACTTAGATCATCACTCTGCCCACATGAAGAACCCCACTCCTCAGCTACCACCAGGTCTAGGACACATACTTTCATCTTCCCAGTACCAACCACTCCACTAGGTCACTCCACTGCCCAGGGAAAGGCCATTTCTTTCTCCCTACATCAGTGCCTCACACAAGAGGAGATAGCTCAGACCAAACTGGGACCTATCCCACCTTGGTGAACCAACAGACAGCCTCAGCCAAAAACAGAGCTTGTGAACACATCTCTGCTCAATGAGCCACTGGACAGGTGGGATGATCAGACCACTGATCTGCATACCGAGCATAGTCTCCTGCCTAGGTTAGGGCCTGGATAGGTGACTGCTTGGTACAGACAATGCAACCTCAGAGAGTATAGGACTAAGTCCAGACCTCCCCAATTTGACACACCAGGAAGCATCAGAACATGGGTCATACCTGAACCATTGCCCAGGATACTACAAGAAGGGCCTCCCCAGTCAGACCTGGACATAGATCCTTGCCCAGTGCTCACAAACCATGACACAGCCCCAAGCCATATCCCATGCCCTCACTGGCTCAGCAGAATAAACTGTGGCCTCCCCAGTCAGACCTGGACATAGATCCTTGCCCAGTGCTCACAAACCATGACACAGCCCCAAGCCATATCCCATGCCCTCACTGGCTCAGCAGAATAAACTGTGATACTGGTTCCAGCACCAGCTGAAACAACTGCCTTCAGGACAGTATCTTCCCTGTCCCCATACCCAGCAAAGCACAGGACAATCTTTCCTGAGGATCTGTACACTTGCCACCCTCAGGACAGGGAAACAGTGTCCTTAGTTGCTCAAGATAATGAATGAGAGACTTCATTCAACCCGAGACCTCACCCTTACCCCCTTGCAGCATGCCTGGACCCAGCCCCCATCCAGAACCCTCTCTTCTATCTCTTCATTCTTCATTCACTCCTTTTCTACTGGGCCCTTCCCCAAAGCCCCTCTAATAACCCACTGTATCTCTCTCTTCCATCCTCAACACCAAAGCCAGTGCCCCCCTTTTTAAAAGATTTTATTCATTTATTCATGAGACACACACACAGAGAGAGAGAGAGAGAGAGAGAGAGAGAGAGAGAGAGAGAGAGGCAGAGACACAGGCAGAGGGAGAAGCAGGCTCCAAGCAGGGAGCCCAACATGGGACTCGATCCCCGGTCTCCAGTATCAGGCCCTGGGCTGAAGGCGGTGCTAAACCACTGAGCCACCCGGGCTGCCCCAAGCCAGCTCTTTCTACTTCTCTTTCTATTCATGTCAGAGCTGAGCTGTTATTTATTTATTTATCTTTTAAAGATTTATTTATTTGAGAGAGTGAGTGAGCATGAGTGGGAGGGGCAGAGGGAGAGAGAATCTCAAGTAGACTCTATGCTCAGTGCAGAGCCCCACGCAGGGCTCAATGTCAAGATCCTGAGATCAAGACCTGAAGTGAAACCAAGAGTTGGACGCTCAATCACTGAACCACCCAGGCTCCCCAGAGCTGAGCTTTTACAGGAGCATTCTGTAGCCCTGTCTCTACTCCTCACTTCCCATTCATTCCTCCACCCCTATAAGCTGGCCTCTGCCATCATGGCTCAATTACCACACCCAAGGGTTGCTTGTCGAGCCCTCACCTCCTGGACCTGGTTGGGAGATCAGATACTGGGCTCTAGCTTCCTCAGTGAAAGTCTCTCCTCTCTCAGGTCCCTGGATTTTATTCCTGCATTCCCTACCTTTCCACACACTCCTCGTGCCATCCCATGTCCCCATGGATGCTGATCTCTAGACCCCTGAAGATCCCCTCAAATGCCCATTTCTTTGCACAACTTCCAGGTGACCTGTGAGTCTCCTTCGGGTGTCCCCTCTCCAAGAAACCCTGGCTGATCCCACCCATAGTACCTGGACTTGACTCTCTAGCACAGTGCAACCTTACATTCTGCGGGGGAGCATCCCTCCCCTTGTAGAGCTTAGGTCCTCACAGGCAGAAACCCTCTGTCACTCCCATCTGGGTCTCCTGTTCGAGGTGCAGAACCTGGTTCTGAACTAGCACTTGAGAAAACTGTGTGCCTCTGGAGCTGGAAAGCTGTGTGTTTGGAAGCAAGGGGGCAGCTAAGGCCTGTGCACAGAATCCTTAGCTCCCAGGAACAGGCAGGAAGCCTGCATGTTGCCGGGCAGTGGGGGGGCAGCTGTTGCAGAAGGTGGGAGGGGCCGTCAAATCAGGCCTACTCCCAGCAAGTGGCAGCAAGGGCCACCTCTAATAACCCCCATAAGGGCTCAGTAAATGTGTGTTGAATCAGCTGAGAGGCGTCTGTGCAGACTTAGCCATCATAAGAGGCATGAAGAGCCCTTGAATTCCCGCTGTTAGTAAAGATAATTTGGCAGGCAGAAGAGAGGGAGGTTGCATGAGCAGCTTGTAGAGAGAACCCAGCTGCAACAGAACAAGAAGTGGTGGCCCTACAGTTTCAGGTCAAGTGCAGGGCTCTGATGGCTTCTGGGAGTGAGGAGAGCCAGACCCCTTCCTGTATGCAGAGCCAGAGCACTTTCCATAGTAATGGAGGCACACAACCACACTATGACGGTGATGCCATCATGGACGCAAGGGGGAGGGGTAGCATCCCGGTGACCAGCTGTCTCAACTTTCCTGGGACTGGAGATTTCCAAAGAAGTGGCACTTTGACTTTGCAAACCAGGACAGAGCCCCAGGCAAACTGGGACAGTTACTCACCCTTAGCATTGGAAGGAGCCAATCTCAAGTAGGGCTCCTTCCCCCCTGCTCTTTAGAGCGCAGGAAATGAAGGGGGCAGCGGTCTAAGCTGCAGCCCCGTGAGGATGTGCCTGTAGGACTATGGGCCTGTATTGAGTTTGCCAGGGGAGGGCTGCCTGGAGGGGGCACGGGTTGGGCCCGCTTCTGGAGGACTTATCCTAAAGGAGTTGATGTCAGCTCTGGTTTGGGGTCACTGTGTTTGGCAGCGGTGCTGTGAGGGTGAATGCACGTATTGACGTTCTATCAGGGCCAAGCCTTATGTGCAAGCTGCATATGAGACATGCAACAAGCTTGAAATGGTCCTGAACTGTTTTGCCACAGTATAAAACACGATGATTACTAGTGTGGCTCTGCGACCACGGGTCCCAGGAATTTCCGGGCAGTTTTTACTACAGTGTCAGCATTGTTTTGCTTATTTATTTTTAATTGAGAGTAAGTTCATATCACATGTAGTTTGCCATCTTATTTTATTTTTAAAGATTATTTATTTGAGAAAGAGCATGAATGGCAGGGAGGGGCACAGGCAGAGGGAGAGGGAGAAGCAGACTCCCCGCAGAGCAGAGAGCCTGATGCAGGGCTCCATCCCAGGACCCCAGGATCATGACCTGAGCAGAAGGCAGATGCTTAACTGACTGAGCCACCCAGGTGCCCCAGAGCATTTATTTTTTTAATAATAGTGAGATGCAAGGGGTGCCTGGGTGGCTCAGTAGTTGAGCCTCTGCCTTTGGCTCAGGTAGTGATCCTGGGGTCCCAGGATTGAGTCCCACATCGGGCTCCCTGCATGGAGCCTGCTTCTCCCTCTGCCTATGTCTCTGCCCCTCTCTGTGTGTCTCTCATGAATAGATAAATAAAATCTTTTTTAAAAAAATAGTGAGATGTATGATTTGCATGCGGGCTTCATGCTACACACTTTACTCCCATCCAGGGCTCTGGGGTCGAAATTCCATGGTTCCTGATCCGAGAGAGAAAGTGCGTCCTGCCCTGGCCCTTACAGGGGATGACTGGAGCTCTCACCTGGCCTCTGCAGACTGCTTTCTGTGAGACAGCCTTTGCCGGCGACGCTCACCCTTACTTGCTGCTGTATCACACTGGTCTCATTTGTAAGCACTGTCATGGGGGGTGTCTGGATCCTCAGTAGCAAGCCAGCCCCATTTTCACTACTAGCAGCCTGAAGTAGGTTTGGCCTACTTGTTGTGTGGACACTGGGGGCAGCAGGGGGATTGTGGAACTAAGCCACACCAGTGTGGTGTGAAAGAACTGTAACGTGCCACCTAGACACGAGGCACTGCGACATCTAGACCTATGGGAGAGACCCAAGATCTGTCTAATTCCAAAGCCTGTGCTTTTGATTACTTCTCTGTACTGCCCTTTATGTCTTCATTAGGATTCCTGTCACAAAGGAAGCCTTCCCATTTCATAGCCTGTCTCTCTTCTCAGAACTGATGCTTGGCATGTTTTTCCTACCTTCCCTCTCCCCTTGCCTCCCTCTCTTGATTCCCTATCTACTCTTAGTCCTTCTTCCTCCCTTTCTTCCTTTCCTCCATTTTGCTTCTTTCTTTCCTTCCTTTTAAAATTTCCCTTCCTTCCTTCCTTCCTTCCTTCCTTCCTTCCTTCCCTCCCTCCCTCCTCCTCCTTTACCATTGGGATTCTCCCATTGTCTCTGCTGTCACCTTGCAATCCCGGGTAAATACTTCACTTAACCCACTACTTCACAATATCTTCTAAAAACTGGACCCTGGGGATCCCTGGGTGGCTCAGCGGTTTAGCACCTGCCTTCGGCCCAGGGCGCGATCCTGGAGTCCCGGGATCGAGTCCCGCGTCGGGCTCCCTGCATGGAGCCTGCTTCTCCCTCTGCCTGTGTCTCTGCCTTTCTCTCTCTCTATCGTGAATAAATAAATAAAATCTTTTTAAAAAATAAATAAAATAAAAATAAAAACTGGACCCTAAGATTCATCTTAGCTTCCTGCCAGCACCATTGCTGGAAGAGCATGGAGGACAGTCCCTAGCCCACCCTATAAGTATGTGACAGACAGGGTGAACTAGCATACCAAGAGCTCTGCCTACAAGAGAGAAGCGCTGGGTATTTTCCATGGATCTTCTTACCCGCTCCCCAAATCCATTCTCCACTTTTTCCTGCTGTGTCCTATGTCCCAGGAGGCTAACCCTTCCATGGTTTGTGTCACATGGGCCTTCTTACCCTCCGGCTTCTAGTTGGATTTGGCCAGCGGCAGGCACTGACATGAGATTATAGGGTAGGAAGAGAGAGAAGTCAGAGTGTTTCTTCTTTCTGTTCCCTTCCTGTCCAGGCATGGTTCTGGAAAGGGCAGCATTCCTCAATGGCCACAACTGCTATGAGACCACCCTCTTCCACAGCTCTTTTCCTCATAAGGCTCTGGTATTACTTCCCTCTCTTTGCCTCTTCTGGTCAAGGGGTAGTAATGATTCCTCTCTGTTGCCAGTTCCAGAACACCTTGCCATCCCTTGTGGCTTCCCTTATTCCTGCCTACATCTTCCTTCAACTCATGTCGGATAAATCCTTTGAGTGTGCCAAATGTTTCTTACCAGGACCCTGCCTCATCCAAGCTGGGCAAGGAGCCACCCTGGACCTGGGGCCAAGATAGCGCCATTTCCATCAGCCTGGGGTTCTCCTCCCCATTAAGTGAGAGCACCTGTTGTCAGGGCCATGGGCTTGGGTACTAGAAAAAAAGGCGAATACAAATCTGAAGTAGGGGTGCAAAAGATATTCTTTCATACCAGGCTCTTGGGCTTTGAGTGAAGAAGTGAGGTATGGAGGCCAGGCTTTGCTGGGACTCACAGACCCTAAACAAAGAGGATGGTGCAGAGTTACCATTCACTCCTGACTTTCTGGTTTGTGTCACGGTGGATCGGGTGCTCTCAAGTACAGACGTCATGGGCATGACCGATCTTATCGGAATCAGAGGGAGTGTGATACATCAGGATGTCATTTTAGTCCTTAGCGGGGCAGTGTGAGTACTGCGTATTTCCTCTGCCTACATTGGTCCCCAGCCAGCTATATGGCATCCTCCACGACCTCGGGAATGACAGTAATCATCTACAGTGACTATAGTGGGTCTCCTAGTTTGTGTTAATTGTTCCCATGGCTGGAGTTCAACCATGTCCGTGCATGTCTCATAACTTGGAGGGGAGGCAACACAGAGCTATTTATTTGCATCAGTATCAAATTGCACAGGGCACCTGTGTAAAGGAGGTTTTCATGGGCACCGGGGGAAATATGAAAATAAAGAAGATGGTGCCTCTTTTTTCTTGGGTGTTGGTTTTCCTGCCCAGCCTCAGAGATACAGATTTGAGCCCTATATACAGAAAGACGCTAATGGCAAAAGCTGATGGGTCTGGTTCCCAAATGAAGTGTGATAGCATGGGAAGGAGCACTCCCCTGATGCCTCGATGATTTGCAATTTCAGCAGTTTAGGCTACAATCTTCACAGATGGTGAAGAAAAATTCTTACCACAGGTGGTGGTAAGAAAAATTATGTGAAATCTGGAAATAAGGCAAAGGGTGTCCTTTCCATGTCATATTGAAGCCTTGTCTAACAGGTCTGCCTGAAGATGATTTAACTCTCTAGGGAAATGCATTTTGTTTCCCCTACTATTGACTACTGATTAAGGCCAAGTCTTTGTGAAGTCTCTGTGAACTTGTGGATTTTTGTTTGTAGAGATGCAAGTAATTCTGTCTAGTAGAAAAAAACAGCACTGAAGGTAACGATTGTATTTCCCTACAGTCCATTAACTAGTTTTGTATCTAATTTAGTAATCTTATTCTAGAATTCTCTCTTTTAGTGCCCATATGCACTTTTCTTCAAATTCTCCTTTGAACCAATTTACCATACTGCTGTTTCTTTGTTAATGAATTAAGTAAAATTGGCATAGGTGCTAACTTTGTATTTAGTATAAGTCATATTTTTAAAAAGATGTTATTTTTTTTTTAAGATTTTATTTATTGGGACGCCTGGGTGGCTCAGCGGTTGAATGCCTGCCTTCGGCCCAGGGCGTGATCCTGGAGTCCAGGGATCGAGTCCCACATCAGGCTCCCTGCATGGAGCCTGCTTGTCTCTCTGCCTATGTCTCTGCCTCTCTCTCTGTGTCTCTTGTGAATGAATAAATCAAATCTTAAAAAAAAAAGATTTTATTTATTTATTCACGAGAGACCCACAGAGAGAGAGAGAGAGAGGCAGAGACACAGGCAGAGGGGGAAGCAGGCTCCGTGCAGGGAGTCCGATGCGGGCAGGACTCGATCCTGGGTCTCCAGGATCACGCCCTGGGCCGAAGGCAAGCACTCAACCGCTGAGCCACCCAGGGATCCCTAAAAGATGTTATTTATTTGAATGGGGTACCTGGCTGGCTCAGTTGGTTAAACATCTGCCTTAGGCTCAGGTCATGATCCCAGGGTTCTGGAATCGAGCTCCATGTCCTCCAACTCCCTGCTCAGCAGAGCTTGTTTCTCTCTCTCCTACCTGCTTGTGCTCTTTCTCTTGCTATCTCTGTCTCTGTCTCTCTCTCTCAAATCTTTTAAAAAGATTTTATTTATTTGAAAGAGAGAACATGCCTGAGTGTGTGCACCAGCAGAGGAAGAACACGGGAGGAATGTGGTGGGGGGGCAGAGGGAGAGGGAGACCATACTCCCACTGAGCCAGGAGCCCTTTGTAGCCTATCCCAGGACCCTGAGAACATGATTATACTTTGACAGTGGATGCTGGTAGCAGTGGCAAGCATGAGGGACTCTGAAGGTGTTTTATTGAGCAATGGATATCACTGAGAGGGCTGAAGCATGTGAGAATGGTGGGTGCTAGATGTTAACTATAGCTGAGAAATATGTTTGTGAGGACATTAGATACACCTCCTGAGGACTCCCAGACATCACTTGTTAAACAAATATTTTACCTAACGTGCCTGGTTTTATCTTGACTCTGAAGACGAAGTCAGAAGGAGGCTGCCCAACTTTCACTAAGACATTATTTCAGAATCTTTTCCTGAAAACCTCTAGTCGCGTATCTTTTTGCCAACTCTAATCCAGCATATCTAACACTGAGCTTATCTTTTCCCTCAAACATACCATTTTCCGTACTCTATTGAATGGCACCTCTGCTCATCTGGTCCTTCAAGCCAGAAGCTGGAAAGTCCTCTGGGGCTTTTCTTGCTTCTCCATCTTCTACCTATAGTCAGTACTGTTAACCTAAATAAAGTGGTAAACTGAGGCAAGCTGGAATTACCAGAAATTGATTTTATTCAGGAATAGCAGAGGTTTTGTAATTCAGAAAACTCATGCTAGACCATCGAGGGCTTGGGGTGGGCTGTATTCACGGGCAGAGAGCAAAGAAGGGGAAGTCCAGCTCCTGTCAAAGCAATAAGTTCTTTGGCTTGAGAATGGGGAGAGATTCCTGATGGGTGTTCATTGGTCAGGAGATAAGTCTCAGTCTTCCTGTAAATCAGACATTTATGGAAAACCAGTCCCTCAGTTCTTAAGTTCCATTCTTCAAAGTCTACATCCATGAGATTCTCCATTTTGTATCTTCCAGTTCCATTTAATTCATTCATTCATTTAAATTTTTAATTTCTTTTTAGTGACCTCTACACCCAAAGAGGTTTTTTTTTTTTTTAAGATTTTATTTATTCATGAGAGACACACAGAGAGGCAGAAACACAGGCAGAGGGAGAAGCAGGCTCCTCTCAGGGAGCCCAATGTGGGACTCAATGCCGGGACTCGGATCATGACCTGAGCCAAAGGCAGATGCTCAACCGCTGAGCCACCCAGGTGTCCCCACTCAATGAGGTTTAAAACTCAAGACCCAGAGACTAAGAATCACATGCACTACTGACTGAGCCAGCCAGTCACCCCCTTCAGTTCCATTTTATTTTATTTTTATTTAAAGATTAAAAAGAACTTTTTAAGTTTTATTTATCTAAGTAGCCTCTACACCCTACATGGAGCTTGAAGTCACAACCGTGAGATCAAGAGTTGCATGCTCCTCCAAATGAGCCAGCCAGGCACCCCTAAAGAATTTTTTTAAGGTTTTAAAGTAATCTCTACACCCAACATGGGGCTCAAACACACAACCCCAAGATCAAGAGTCACATGCTCTACCGAATGAGGCTGCCAGGAGCCACTCCAGTTCCATTTTGGACTGAAATGTTTTTACCCACCCAAGTCTTACTAATTCTATCTCATAAATATTTATCTCTTCTTGTTCAGTCTTCCTGCATCTCACTTGATGAGCCTCCTCACCTGCCTCAGGTTCACTTTTCTTAGCACCCATTCTACCAGTCTGGTTTATATAATGTTGCCAGTTCCATTTCACTAAAAGAAAACTGTAATCATGTTACTCCTCTGATTAAAACCCTTCAAGGAAGGGGCAGCTGGGTGGTTTAGTCAGTTGGGTGTCTTGTCTGCCTTTGGCTCAGGTCATGATCCTGGGGTCCTGAGATCGAACCCCACCCCAAGCTCCATGCTCAAGGGGCAGTCTGCTTTTCCCTCTCCCTCTGTTGCCCCCCTTGCTTGTGTGCTCTCTCTCTCTCAAATAAACAAACAAACAAATAAATAAATAATCTTTAAAAATAAATAAATAGGGGATCCCTGGGTGGTGCAGCGGTTTGGCACCTGCCTTTGGCCCAGGGCGCGATCCTGGAGACCCGGGATCAAGTCCCACGTCGGGCTCCCGGTGCATGGAGCCTGCTTCTCCCTCTGCCTGTGTCTCTGCCTCTCTCTCTCTCTCTCTCTCTCTCTCTCTCTCTCTCTCTGTGTGTGTGTGTGTGTGTGTGACTATCGTAGATAAATAAAAAAATAAAAAATAAATAAATAAAATAAAACCCTTTAAAGGAAGCCAGTGCAGGAGTACATGGAATTTAATGATGGAATGGATAAAGCAATCAAGAGCATGAAATAAAATCTTCATGGGTTTCTTGTTGCCTATAGGGTAAAGTCCAGTCCAGGCTCTTAGCACTAAGGCATTTTATAACCCGATCTGAACCTGTTTTATCAGCATTGTCCCGTATCCAGGCCCTCCCTAGCAAACACCCTATACTGCAGGTACATTGTTTACTTCTTGCCATGATCTTTTGAGCTTCCTTGTTTTTGTGCTTTCTCTTCCCCTTGTCCCAAATGAGTTCATTCTTCATTTATGGCTTTATTCCTAGTTACCTGTCAAACTCCTCTAGGTGGAAGTCACTGGCATCTCCTTAAATTTTATGTCCTACGTGCCTTACTTACCTCACCCTACTCCTGACATTGGTAGCCCTTGAAAATAATCCTATTACATAATATGAAGCAAAGTGAAATAGAGTATGTATAGTAGTCTCCCATTTGTTCTGGAAAGAAGGAAAAATTTCACAAGCATTCATATACCTATTCATATTTTTAAAAAGACACACAAGACAAACCAGAAAACAACAAGACTGGGATGCCTGTGTGGCTCAGCGGTTGGGCATTTGCCTTTGGCTCAGGGTGTGATCCCAGGATCCGGGATGGAGTCCCGCATCAGGCTCTCTGCATGGAGCCTGCTTCTCCATCTACCTGGATGGATGGGTTATTATCCATCCATCCATCCATCCATCCATCCATCCATCAATAAGGGAGGAGGGTAGGCTC